GCTGGGACATCTTATACGACATGACGATTTTTTTAAGAGCATAGAATAGGAAAGATAGAGGGCAAAAGAGGAAGAGGAAGACCGAGGAATAACTACATGGAATAGATAAAAGAAACACTGGGTGTCATGTCGTTTAGGGAGATAAAGGATATGGCCTGGGATAGAGCTGGCTGGAGGAAGATGCATGAATTAGTTGCACCGACAAGAGGAAACTCTTAAATGAAAAGTAGAAGAATCAGCAGTGGATAGTTAAAGGTCGATATGATGATGATGGCAATAATTTTTATTTTATTTTATTATTTTACTAAAATAAAACGTAAGTTAGTAAAATATAAAATGAATATAAGTTTAGAAAATATAAATTCATTTAAATTAATAAATATAAAAAAAATACTTTTTTTAATAAAAAATACGCATAAGACAATTGTAACCTAATACTATATTATCCGGACTTAACTTTAAAGACATGGCCCAGTTCATTAGTTTGAAAATTGTCATTATCAAAAACTGGGGGGAGAGGAGATTGGTAGTAAGGGGAATTAAAAATCCCATTGCTAGCAATATACCCTATCAGATCGACCTCCACGTAATCCCCCTTAGAAACCATCGTGTTGAATACTAGGTGCATTCATCACGATGGGACAACTGCCTTTTCATTCTCACCTCGCCTCGGTGCCCTGCCAGTGTATACCGTTAGCGCAGGCGGGGTAACTATTCCATTATTATCCATTAAACAAAATATCAAAAACTTGTATTTTAAATTCCGAATACCTATCTCAACCAAACGTCAGCATTACTACTGTAATCTGTTTCAATACAACGTAATGTAAATATTGAATCAAGTTCTATTGAAATTATTACAGGAACATTCTCAAAATTTTTTATGCTCAAGGCTATGCTCCGAGTTTTACTGCAATATATAATCCGGTATGTGGAAATCCGCAGAACTAAAGTGATCGCAATAGTCTGGAGTATCTACAAGCCAAAGTTGCAATAGGCCAGCTATATAGTTTGAGTAATCGATAACCAATGGGTAAGAAAGGTACTGAAGTGGCGACCCCTTGCAAGCAAGCACAGTGTAGGGCGACCGCCCAAAATGGAGTGACGATCTCAAGAGTGTTGCAGGATGTCGTTGGATGAAGGCGGCACAGGATTGTATTTTGTGATACAATATGGTGAAAACCCACTTCAACAGTGGACAATGGATAGGTTGTAATGATAATAATTATGATTTTTTTGGTTCACCCATGACATTATTAAATTAGCAACAAATCGAATGAATTACTCGATTGCTTATTTGTACTCTACTGCAAACAAGCAGATTATCTTATAGTCGGGCCAATTATTAGTTTGTTTATATTTTAATTGATTTCCACTAAAACAGTCTATAAAATCAAAATGAAAGCTGTAAATATTATAAGTAGAAATGTTTGTTCCACAACCTATTATTAATGATATATCAGGATTCGGTATTATAACTTAGTTATGTGAATATACTTTATAATGAGTTAAATTTTAAAAGATATTTTAACATCAACTGAGTCAGTCTAAATTAAGGACTGAAAAAGGCTCCAATAAATATAAGGGGAAAGCTTACTCTGCACTTAGAAAGGCCATTACGGCGTTAAAGTCCTTTTATTATTAGGTATATGTCATTAGGAATTGTCTAGACTCTACATTACGGAGAGTCTGGTAGGTATATATACTAGTTCCATATGATACATGTAATGTAGGTAAATTCAGGAAAACGTACTAAAGAGGACAATTTGAAATAGAGTACACGAAGGCATTTTATTGGTGTATCATACATAAAATCAAACAGTAATACAGTATCGATATATTCGTGGAGTACTTTATTGATAGCAGAAGACTAAACCCAGTCAAATAAAAGGGAAAACAATTTGAAACAATTTACTTCGGATCTACTTCTTGATTACAAATAACAAAAATATAAGTAACTTTCAATTTACAATAAGTACTGTGTAATACTTATTTATTTTAGTGAATTATATTTCCCTTCCTTTCCTTTCACAGAGTACGAAAGTAAATATTTATATTTTATTATTAAAAATTTCATATATTTATATTAATTATAATCAGATAGCATAATTAAAATTGCTGTGTGATTCCGACATAGAATAGGCCACCCCTTTCTTTCCCGTAGGTGTCGTAAGTGGCGACTAAGGAGGGCGCGGAATGGGCAGTAACGTCCATCTTAAAACATTTCTAAAGCCTAATTGTGATTACTAATCCACCTGATAAGTGTTGCAACTACTGGCAAATATAAGCCCCCCCAATGAGGAGGCTTCTATTCAGCTGTGGACAGTCAAAGGCTGATATGATGATGATGATTAAAATGAGCGACAGGATAAATATAAATAAAAAAGATCAGTTTGAATTATTTAGTGTATCATTGTTTCTGCCCACTCAGACAAGAAGTTAGTACTTACATACCTATATACACATACATTCATACATAAATGTCTCTCACGTCTGTCTCCCGTTAGGGTAAACAGAAACAATGGACCGCCAAAAATACACATTATGTAGGTATATACATTTTACTACTACCCGTGAATTTTGAAACTTAAAAAAATATTTATTTAACAATTTGTTCTTCCGTTTATATGTTGAATAATTTCTTTTTTATGTAAATTTTTCAGAGTCCTCAAACATGTTTTGGGTAAAATTTGATATGATTATTCTAATCCTATGATAATGAGGATAAGTATGCACAACAAAAGAAGAAAATTTTATTAAAAATTACGAGCGTATTGTACGAATATTTATGATAATTACTTCACTATAAATAATTGGTTTTGAATTTATTTACTTTCAAACTTTCGTATTTAGTATACATTATTGATACTAATTAGGATTCATCAAACCATATTGTTTTAAGTTCAATTATAGGCTCATTAAAAATATATATATCTACATACATTATTGCACTATGCATTGATAACTGACATTAAATGTATGTTTCTTTAATAAAATGCGTAAAAGTAAAAAAATAAATTTATCTGTATACCAGACAGGATTAGGATTAAGGGTAGTATTAATATAATTTAGCCGTTAGTTTCGTTTTTTATTTAAGATAGACTAACCTTGAATAAAGAAGTTTAAGCCTCAAACATGAAACGGAAATTATCCAACAGAATTTGGTCTCATTATTCCAAATTTGTTCCAATAATACGTTATTTAATAATTAATTTAGTTAATTGAAAAAAGAGGTAAAGAAGACGCCAAAGAAACCTTTTAGGATCGGTAATGCGCGCTTAATGTTCCTGGTATTATAGGCGTTCAGAGGCTACAGTAACCACTTACCATCAAGCGAGCCGTGTGCTTGTTTACTACTTAAATGATATAAAAAAATATTGATGTTCTATATCTAGAAGGTCACCCTCTGTTATTAAGAGTTTTAGGCTGCTATACACGAAGTAAGCTGATATTATTTACTGAATAATGGTTTTATTCTCCGAAACACGAAAGCAAGTGAATTATTTTTAAATTATCGAAACATGAATTTGAAAATTCAGGATCTACATGTCATAATCAAGAGTTATCCGACTGAACTGTCACCACTTAAAGCCGTTCTAAATGTGGTAAATAAACACTCTCTAGAACGGTTAAAACATCTCGCGTGTCAAAATGAGACCCAAATTGATATCGCGAACGGGTAATATTATATCGTTATGAACTGTATAATACTTAATCTTAATGTTGATGATGTAAGCATCAAGCATTAAAGTACACCTATAAGTTTCCAGTTTTATGATAACAATGCCAAGGATGGTACATAAGACGTCCTTATATGGACGCTATAATGTATCTCTACTTGAAATTGCATATATTCCTCATTTTCCATTATGAAGATTCTCCTTGGTAGTCGAATAAAATCTTGTAGCTTCATGACTCTCATAAAGGTCCAAAACGTGTTTTATAATACAATCTGTTAAGTAAACAGAATAAAAGCACTTCCATTTGACTCAAGTTACATAAAACCGCATCAAAGGTAATGGAGAAAGTTCAGTAAAATCGAAAAAGGTATATTTATTTTGGCAATTGAGTTCAATATTTGACAGAAGGTATCTTGAAACCAAGAAAATAATGAAGTTAAAGTTCGATAAATTATTAAAAATAATTATAAATATGATAATTATACAGAAAATCTAATTTAAGATATTATTTCAACAATCTTATAGGTACTGCATAATACAGCGATAATAAAATTGCGGTTAAAATTAAAAAAAAAATCATAACAATTTTTTGAGTTTTAAATAGTTGAATTGAGTTTTGTTTATTAATTAAATTATATATATTAAAAATTCCTATTTTTATAAATTGTTATTTTAAAAGAAAAAAATTAATTTATAATATATAGTGATATATGTTACCTGTATATGTAAGTAAAGTTTTTTTTACCATTTCCGTTGTATCATCATTTCGAATATTTTTTTAAGATCTTTACTATCTACCCGAAAATAATTAATTAGAGTACATGTCCTGTCCAATAACTGACAAGCCGACAAGCCGAAAAATTGTTCATTTTTTATGAAAGAAAAATTACGCAATAGAACATTCCCGTATCTCTGTATTGTATTCGAAAATATAAAATAACCGTGATGAATTTCTTATTAATTATCTTTTCTTAACTTGAAATTTATTTTACTTATCGTCAGAATATTATGATTACTTAAAATTTTAACATTAAATGAGGCTCTACACGTACTTCATTAAGATTATACTTCCTTCATTAGCTTAGGTAAATTTTAATTGTTATTTTATTTTTTTATTTGTTGTGGTATAATTTTTACATCCTGAACTTTGTTGCCATATTGTGCACAACTAAGTAATACAATATCCTTGAAAATTTTTTACATAAAACTATAAGTAAAATTTTATATCTTAGAATACTCTTATAATTTTTAACTTTTTTTAGAACTTGATTGCATGTCAATAAATATTTATATGTTTTTGTAATCCAGAATATCACTTACCATACACACTGGCCAACAATGGTAACGTAAACTGCTGTCACCAGCACTACAAAAACACAAGAATCTTGATCATTAAAATGTCTTCACGAAAAAAATCACAATTTTAAAAAAAGAACTTAAAGACGTCTAAAGAAGCTGAATTCTAAATTAAAATATTTGACTTATACTCGTACGGAGTAAGTGGTGAGTGCGCAGGGGATGTGGCGCACACGTCCTACCCCTACAAATCTTGAGCGATGACTGAAGCTGAAATATTTGGTGGTCCCCGAGGGTAGCAATCCGCCAGCGTGAAGATAAGTCCGGTAGTGCTTGCGCTAAGCAGATTACGAGCTTGTTTCGGATATCTCTATCCTCACTGTCGTACTTAACCGCTTATTGACGCGTTTGTAAGGTAAGAACCGCAGAAAGTTCCAAGAAGAATTTTGGCTTTATATGTACCTACCAAAAACTACTTTGTAATCCTTTACGGTCAAGGTTACATGATTTACACGATTTCTAAAGAAAAGACGGTATCTAATTTTTTCAACTGACTTCAAAAGGAGGTCTTCAATTCATTGTATTTTTTACGTTTGCTACTCACAACTTAGTCAATTGTAAATTGATTTCAAAAATTGTTTTTTTTTTAATATGAAAAGATATACGAGTACTTATAGACTAGTCTCATAAAAAGTTTACCTAAATCGGTTTATTAGTTTGGTTTTTAAATTAAAACACCAGATTTTTTAAGTCAGTTTTTTTTATGAAAGAATTTTTATTCAAGTATTACTACTGATTACCATTATTGTCAGTCGTTCGTAACCCACTTTTAAACCTAAAACTCCTCCAGACAACTATAGAAAACAGTTCAGAGCCGCTTGCATTCATTGACTCATATTTATCTGAAATTGTAATTTATTTGTATAAATTCTGGTATAGTTATGTACACCAGAATTTTTGGTCTAACATATAGCTAATGGTTTGATTTCAATAAATAGTATATCAGAATAGATTATTCATCAGAATTTTATACAAGTACAGTTTGCTCCAAATAAAAGGAATGGCGATATACAAATGATACACGGATGAAAGACTGTTTTTTTTTTCTTTCACAAGTAATAAATATAACAATACATTTGTATAAGCACGGTGCAGTATAGTTTAACTACATTTATACATATATAACATTTTAAATATTTTAATCTAGAATATGAAATCGTGACTACACATAGATTTTTCTTACAATAAGTAGATTTTTTTCTCTACTACTATAAATAGGAACTTCATTTGACACAAAATAAAAAAAAAAAACTAACACAGGAATAAACCCTATTTGATTATAGAGGAAAAAAATTACTAGTAATAGAGTCTAACAGTTCCATTTCTAGTAATATACCCTGTCAGGTCAACCTCCACGCGGTTCCCCATAGAAAACGTAGTTGATTCTTGTGGAATTCGTCACGATAGGCTAATTGACCTGCTTTCATCCTCATTGGTACCCGGTCAACATATACTGATAGTACAGGCAGAGTTACCATTATATTTTCAATCATTAAAAAAAGAAACCCAATTGATTGCAAAAAGTTTTAAGTAATATTGTTGTAAAATTAATTTGCCGAATTGAGAATATTGTTATACTCATAGTTGCTGTTTGAAAATTAAATGTATTTTTTGTTACTGTACAAGTCTAGTAACAAAATTAATTGTTTTTCAATGTTAAATCATTAAGATATGAGTATATGATTAAACAATAGCGTAACTTCTTACGCCACAATAAAATATCATGCTCTTTTGAGGGCAAAACAATAAACTGAGTTGTGACCATTTTATGTTACTTGGGCACACGCATGAAAGAAAAAATTTTTACTTATTTTACATATTTTCCTTTTTTTTTGTATATGCATTCTTTTATCGGTTTTTATTGTGTATGTTTGTTGTTATTTGTGTGCTATAAGTAATGCAAATAAATTATATATCTATCTACGCATTGATGTTGGATCAATTAATATACAATTTCTAGATAGTGTATCAACATAAAGCATATACTACCACAGTTACACTTCGCATATGTCGAAACCGCATATAGTTTAGTACAATAGTGTATACGTGATACAAGAATACACAGAACGCAATACAGAAAAAATGTCCAAAATTTAGTGTTTTGGCTTCTGTTGTCCATATTATTAAAAGTCCTTATATTACATTTTTTTTTAAATATCTCATAAATACTGGCATCTATTTCATAAAATACCATTATCTCTATTTGGATATATAGATATATAAATATATAGATAAAATATATATGTAATAATGAAAAGAGAACTTGACTTCTTTTCGTACGAGGTTATCGAGCTGTATAGGTTCTTTTCAACACAATAGCCTCTATGGAAATGTACTCTTTGTAATGTAAAGATCAGGGATGAACTGAAGACATTAATAATAGATATCTTGTACAAAATTTTAGTAACGTATTAGTGAATTCTATTTTATTGTTATTTTTAGTAAATATATTATAATAAAATAATTCATATAGTACATTGTAAAGATTTTCTTCACAGAAACTAGTTGAAATTGTATTGTGCCGTAAGGTACCCTTCTTTTTTTACTTAATGTTAGTAATCAATAAGGATGTACCAACGATTAAGAAATATTATGTAAATATCTTTTATATGAGTAAAATACCAGTTTTCCTACTTTCTTTAGTTATTATAACAACTTTATTATAGTAACTAATAGCTAAGTTACGTTATTGTAATAAAAGTCGCTATTTTTAGTTGCTAAAAATAGCTATATTCCGCGCCTTCACTCGCGTGAGTTAGTACATAAGGTATCATATGTACTAAATTAAAATATAACTAAGCCATGTATAAAATTTCATTCAAAGTCGTTTAGTAGTTTTTGTATGAAAGAGTAACGTACATCCATCGTTTCAAATTTAAAATTTTTCGCATTTTTATGTAGTAATATAATAAAATTATAACTGGACAATATCTGTATATGGAAGATATTTAAAAAATTAATACGAGGAGTCTTAATAAAAACAATAGATGCCAAAACAATAATTTATAGAAAATTTGTCTGTCTGTATTCTGATTTCTATTCTGTATCTGTAGAGCTGGTATATTATTTATCTTGATTTTTAAAATCATCATTATCGTCAAAGGCTGATAGCCTTTAACTGCCCACTGCTGAACATAAGCCTTCCCCTTGGGGGGTTTTGCTAGTAGTTGCCATGCTTGCAGGCGGATTGGCAACTGCAACGGCTTTAGAGATATTTTAAGTGGGACGTTGCTGCCCATCCCTAGCCCTCCCTTAGTCAACACATATGACACGCACGGGAAAGGAAAGGATGGCCTATTCCATGCTGGGATTACAAGGTCAAATATATTGACAGATTCTTAAAATATTGTACATATTTTATCTTGATATGTTATTTCAAAGTAGTCAATTTCAATGATTTTCTTACTCATCAAGTCCACGCGTACAAGGTAGCGGACAAAAAGCGAGTATTAAATAGGAATAAAGAAAATGAAAAAAGTGAAAGTGTCAAATGAAATAATATACTAATTTTTTTACGTCTACAATAATTAAATGAGGATTATAAAATACGAAGTCGCAGATTGATAACAAGACACAATGACTGCAACTTGGAATGGCAAACAATACGGCATCATAACATTCAAGAAAAGAGCATATTCCTTTTTAAAAAGCCGCCAGCAGATCTGCGATGCCTCTTGCGTCGCGGGTGATTATTATGGGCGGCGGTGGTCACTTATAATTAAGTGAGCCGCATGCTCGTTAATATAAAAAAAAATCTAATCAAATAGCCAGTAATATGAACTTAGCAAGATAACACCTAATTCAGTAAAATAAACATGAATATAAATATATATTGGGACATCCGTATCCTAAAATTTCACTATATAGGTGTATTCTATCCTTTAAATCGAAACAAAACTCAAGCACAGATAACTTTTAACAGAAATATAGGTGTAACAGAGGTATGCAGATGACTTTCAAATAAAGCCAGTAGAGATAAACGCTTAAAACTTATAATATCCCCAATTTAACGTTTAACGGCTTTGATAATATTGTTGTTCTACTTAACAATAAAATATACGTTACTACCGCAGCTGTTTCTATTTACGTTTTGAATACAAAATAGCGACTTTTATTCGACAAATCACTTAAATGTATTAAATTTTCTAAGGTTATTATAGAGATTTCATACAAAAGTTCGAAGTTTGAAACGTGGAGTTTCCATGAATAATGGGTAAAGTTGACAGAGTTTAAAATTGAACTGTCCATATTTGGGGTGAATATTAATTTTACGGACTTTAGTTGCCATTCATAATAAGTAACGCGCACTAATTAATTATTATATATATCGTGTAGCTTCTTAATAACAGGATTAGTGTCCTTTTTTGATAAATTTTACTCACAAAGGCAAATATTGCAATTTAAGATTTTTATCTATAAAAATAGCAGTATTAATTCTATTAATATAATAAACCTGAACGTTCACATTAACCTACATTCATCGACGTTTGTTACTTTTTCACGCAAAAATTTCTAATGCGTTTTAAAAAAAATGATACACAGGTAGCGATTCGCGCAGGTAAAGCTACAGCTTACAACTAATTACATATATTTTTATTATAAAACTAATTAATTAATGGCAACAAACAAATAGACAACCTGCTTGAATGCTCTGAGCATTAAGAGAACGACAAAACATGCGAAAACTTTATGCCTCTATATCGTACTATTTCGTTGTCTTATGCCACCATTCAAACCGGAACAGTGTCATGCAAGCAAGAGTGGGGTAAACGATAATGTACACCCTTTGTAGTCTTTCTCAGATATATGAACATTTAAACATCATTTAAAAACTTTATTAGTTGATAAAACAGCAACTTCAGTTATAGCAAAATTAATTTATATAATACAATACTTTGATAAAGGTCATGATGTCCTACTACTGGGCAAAGGTATCCGCTATCTCCTTTTGAAACTTCCTGTTCAGGATCACTTCAAACCAATCCCTTTTAAATGCATCTAGTTCGTCACGCCATCGCTTCTTGAGCCTGCCTAGGTGACACTGTTCATTTTTAGGCACCCATTGAGTGGAGAACTTTGCTCATCCATCGGGGCCCATACGGCTAATATGATCCGCCCAGTCCTACTTAACTTCGGCCAACTTTTGACCTACATCTTTAACGCCAATTTGGAAGCGAATATTGGATACATGATCTGTC